AGGGAGCCCGATGCGGGGCTCGATCCCAGGACCCTGGGATCATGACCTGAGCCAAAGGCAGACGCTTAACGACTGAGCCACCCAGGCGCCCCTCATGAGTTCATTTTTGTCAGTGCTTCATTGCAGCTTTCCTTTCAGTATACAGCTTCTCCTCCTCGGGGGCAGAGAGGAGCCTGCTTGTCCTAGGATTCATTCGGGTCAGCCATAGCTCAGGGGCCGTCACCCCCAGCTTCGGTCTGATCAAGCCTCTCATTCCTGTAAGTCCATGGGCTCACCTGCCACTCGGCTATTGTTAATAGGGACTAACAGGGGCCTTCCTTAGTCATACAGTAAAAGGCTCTGCATCCATCAACAGACAGTGGTCTTCAAGCTCAAGGGTGCTCACTATACATTCAATAACTGTGTTTTCTATTCTCTGAACTGATCATTTTTTCCCTGATTTTTGTCCCAGTATTTTGGTCAATGGGTTTATGTTGCTGGTCTTCGAAATATAGTCACTGTAGCAACAGCCTTTCGCTCCTGACTCCCAGCTGCAAAATGGGGAGTTTGCTTCTTTTTGTGTGAGTTTGGAACATGTTTTCTCAGCAATGGTGTATTGGAATACATTTCTGGAGGAACTGAGGAGGCAGAACATTATTCTAAACAGCATCTCTAAAATTTAAAGTATGTTAGAATTTTCTGGGTAAATTTTAAGTCTAAATTTGTGGGCTCCGGTCTAAGGAAAATTGTGATTCCATCACAAGGGGCTAGAATCTGCATTTCAAGTAAGGAACACCCCATCCTTACTTGGCGACTCTGACATACAAAGTCTTTAGACCACTTTTGGGGATAGGTATTAATTTCCAGCCACTGAGTTTTTATCATATGTCTCATCATGAATCTGGGCTATGAGACATACCCAGATGGAAAATCTCTTCCTGCCTTGACAGATCTTACTACCTTGCAATAGAGGCAAGCTACAAGAAATATTTTTTAAATAATTTAGTAACACTGTTCTTCCAGACAAATGTGTGAGTGTTGGGGTGGGGTGTGTGGGGTTTTGGCGGGGCCCCAGGCCCAGAGTGGGTGAGTCTCGTGTCTCCGGTGGCACGGGAGACCGGGGCCAGGCAGGGCGCCCTGCCTGAGCCAAGGGGGAAGCAGAGATGCACACACCATATGGAGGTTGATTGGAGCCAAGGCTGGCTTGTCTGCTGGCCTGTAGCCTCTGGGATTGGGATCCAGGAGGAGAAAAAGAGAGGCTGGTGGGGGGGTGGTCTCTAGGGGCATGGTTGAGTTGGATCCTATAGGAAGCCATTCATGTCCCTCTGTATTTTGTTGTTTTTCGGGAATTTACATTTTGAGATACGTTACTGAGAGTTTTCTCCCACACATGGAACCAGACCTTGCTTGCCTTACCCTGCATCCTCCCCTTTGCCCCCAACACCACTAAATCAACTACAAACACAAATCCCAGGAGGTGACCCTGTTTCTGGTATGTGCCCAGCTGGACTGTGGTGGGACACACTCCTGCTAATTGCCTCCACACTGAACTTCTAATTACCTTCCTTTTACCACCTTCTTTTCTCCCAACAGCTTTTGTTGACCTTGGTTTCCCGCAGAAATTAACTTCAGCAGCCCAGCTGCGTTGGCTGGTTCTGTGAGTGCAGTTCAGCCTGGCAGAGTGGAGGGGCCGGAAGGCCTCCACGGGTGGCTTTTTGGCCCCAGGTCACAGGGTCGGCCAGCAGCATGGCTGGCTATGCTTTGCAAACCAGGAGTGCCCCAAGTGATTTGGGAGTGTTTTCAAGACGCCTGAGTTGGTGCATGTGACAGCAGCTTGTAAACTGTTAAGCACCGTACAGATATAGAGACTGTTGTCCTTGTAACAGCAGCTGTGGAGACACAGGACACAAGTCCTAAGCAGTACCTATAGCAACTCATGCAGCCCTCAGTACCTGAGACCATTTTCTTTTTTTTTAAATTTTTATTTATTTGACAGAGAGAGACACAGCAAGAGAGGGAACACAAGCAGGGGGAGTGGGAGAGGGAGAAGCAGGCTTCCCACTGAGCAGGGAGCCCGATGCGGGACTCGATCCCAGGACCCTGGGACCATGACCTGAGTCGAAGGCAGACGCTTAACCGACTGAGCCACCCAGGCGCCCCTGAGACCATTTTCTAGATGATCCAGCCCACGTCTGGTCATGCTGCCTCTTTCTGAGCTCTGCCCCTTCTTGGTATCTTTATGCCAGCGGCTGCAGCACTTAGCCATTTAAAGAGGCCACCATAATCTTTTTAAGATACTTTAGGATTTTGTTTTAGAATTGCATCTTTTTACATAAAGAATATCAGGCTCTGTGACTGGGTGAGGTGAGAGCTTCAGGGGACCCTGGGGAAAATAGCTCACTCAAGATAGTTTCATTTTATGGTAAGTACTAGGATTTGGTGCTGAATCACTAAATAACACTCATTTGCACTTTTCTAACTAGTGTCTTTTCCGTTTCACACCTTTTACTCATCAAGTTTATCCACCTGTGGATTGCCGGATTCCTTTTTCTTCTGTCTATGAGTCCAACCACGATTTTGTTGATTACAACTCCCTCTACCCAAGTGGACTCTTGACCTATGGGTCAGTGTTCTCTTTCCTCATAGATTCATTTTTAGCTATTTTAACTGTAGGAAGCGTCTGCAGAGCAGAGGAAATTCTAGAACATGAGATGTAATGCTGTATAACACAGGATGTAAATTGCCACATTGGTTCAGGTTTGTCTGATATATATCTTTACCTCAATTTTCAAGCATGAACTTGAAAATTTCATGTTTTCAGACACTGTCCTTAATCACTGCCCTGAGCAGCCTTGGCCATTTTCTGTATTTCTGTAATAAATCCTTTGCCCCTTTATTCTCATGTGTTTTTTTGGCTGAGTCAACTTTGCATTTGGGTCCTTGAATTTCAGAACCAGCCGTGTCCTTGTGTCTTGGGATGGTTTTGTTTTGATCCTTTTCCTTATCACCGATGTAGCAGGTCTGATTGCTTTGTGGTGTGGCTGCAGAATTCCCTCTGCCCCCTGTTCCTGGGGCTGACCTGATAGGTAGGTGACTGTGCTGTCCCTTCCCTGCCGTGTGCAGAGAAATCTGAGTCGGGCCACCCAGGAGCAGAAGCAGTTGTCTGAGAAGCTCAAAGATGAGACAGAGCAGAAGGAGCAGTTAAGGAGACTGAAGAACGAGATGGAGAACGAGCGATGGCACCTGGACAAGACCATTGAGAAACTGCAGAAGGAGGTGAGGGGTGGGGAAGCAAGAGGTGTGGGGGGAACACCTGGGCTGGGGCCCAGTGTCCTCTGAGGGCCTGGTGAGAGCTAAGGAAACCTACACTGATGTCTAAGCATGCATGTGTCAGATTTCCAGATCCCCTGAAGCAGCTCTTTGGACTTGTTGAGAATCCCAGTTAAAGGGAAACTGGTCTAGAAAATGCCAGTACTCTCTGGATTCTGGGCCCAGCTCCTCTCAACAATCACCCAAAGAAGCCTGGCACGTAAGGGCAGACTTATTAACAAATGTTACCTGAATCAGAACCGTGTGTAACGTCTGCATTTGCACCCATCTTTCTTGTCCAGAAATGTGAAAGGCAGTTTCAAAGTCTAGTAGTTGCTACTTCTCTTCTCTGCTCATCTCTGCCCTGAAATACCCAGAAGGGGGAGAGGCACAAAGCTGACGGGCTCCCTGCATTCTAGGAGCCAACAGGAATGCCTGCCGTCTTCTGATCCCTACTATGTACCAGTCACTGTACCAGCTATTTTGTAACTGGAATTCTCTTATGTATTAATTCTGACAACACCCCTGTAAGGTACATATGATGATTCCAGTATTTCCGATGAGGACACCACAGAGGCCCAGTGAGGTTTAAGGGCATGGTCCAGTTATGTAGCTGGTACGTGGCAAAGCAAGGGCATGACCCAGGTCTATGTATCCAGCCACAAAAGGTGTGCTTGTTCACTCCTCCTTGCTACTTCCAAGTTAGAGGTGACCAAGCCTGGACAGCCCATGACCAGGTGCTTTGCAAAGTCTTTGGGGAGGTTGTAGAAGAAAGAGGAGGAGATGTGTTCTGTGTTTCGATGGGACCCAAACCTAGCTCTCGGGCCCCAGCTGGAGTGTCACAGGGTGGGCTCACAGCCATGTCACTCCTTCCAGATGGCTGACATTGTTGAGGTGTCCCGCGTATCCACCCTGGAGCTCCAGAACCAGCTGGATGAGTACAAGGAGAAAAATCGCCGGGAGCTTGCAGAAATGCAAAGGCAGTTGAAGGAGAAAACCTCAGAGGCCGAAAAGTCACGTCTGACTGCCATGAAACTGCAGGATGAGGTAATGCCTGGCCAGATCCTTTCCTGGTTTACCCCCCCCGTTCAGAGTATGCTGTACTAGAGACTGCTTTGCAACTCTTCTAGGAGAGACTCAGGGTACGTCCGAAGACAGCATTTGGACTTGATTCTTCAGTGTTAACCCTTAGGATGGTCACATGGGGCAAATGGCATTCTAAGACACAAAGTCCCAGGGCCCCGGGCTGAAACTGACACAACTTTAAAGTGACCATTTTCTCAATTCATCCAACAGTTTCTGCCTAAAATGTTTAGCTGCCATTTATGGAGCAGCACTGGTATACCCAGCTGTGTCTCAACGATTCATGTGTATTAGTGTTTTTTTTGTTTTTGTTTTTTTATTTTTTTATTTTTATTTTTTTTTTTAAGATTTTATTTATTTATTTGTTAGAGA